TTCGCCCATACACGTGGCGGTTGCATGCCCTGTGTCAGCGGACGATAAAACATTCACCGTGTTGAGGGTACGTCAGTTGCACGCTGGTATGAGGTTATGCGAAAAGGGTCTATACATAGCTTGCATGTGACGTCATTAGCGGCCATGCCAGTATTTTATGCCGCCCGAGAGCGTTTGGCTTGCCGCGTCAGTTTCACATCGCAAAGTCTCAACGTCTCAACAAAATTGAGACTTTGTGTTGTGTTGTCCTTCTTTCCCCCCAGTCTCGGGGTTTTGTCCAATATGGCAGCTGTCCTTTTCTCTGCTTCGCGTCTTTTCCGCTGGGGTGGCATCACTTCTCTTGAAGTTGCGAATACTGCTTTCATTGAGTGTATTCTGCGGTGCGCTCGAAATAAATTCCAAGTGCACGGTTTCTGGAATAACATCGCACAAGTAGAACACTGTGTTCGTTTTCTACGTTTCAATGAATATGTTGCTCCCCCTATGAAGCAGACGAGGCGTCGAGTATACGGCAGAAACAAAGAAGTGTTAACTTTAAGATTTAACAAAAAACAAAACAGCCGAAAATTTGTTTTCTACTGTGTGTTTTTCATGTTTATGCCAGATCTTACACTTAATCTGATATTTAATATTTATTTTTGCACACTAATCGTAAAAATTAGTTTACCTCATCCACTGTAAAAATAATTTCGTCCGGCATGGAATTTTATTTTTTGATATCCTTGATATGACATTGGGGACTTTTAGCAAAACGGTACCGTGTTCCGCGTACCACACTACCGGAGCCTTTAAAGCATTTTAAGCGCACGCCCGCTGAATACCATGACCGCGGGGTGCGCGCGTAAAAGTATGCTTCAAAGGCTCCGTTAGTGTGGTACGCGGAACACGGTAACGGTTTGCTAATAGTGAGTTTTAGTATTGCGTATACGAGCGAGCGCAAACTCTGTGCGTTTGCGTTAGCGTTCTGTGTGCCACAATGCGCGTGCGCGGAGCCCAAACTACGACATTGGATTGGCGCATGGCGACTTCGGGCATGCGCAGCGTGGAGCACGCAACGCTAACGCAAAGCGCTTGCGTTGGCTCGTATACGCAATCCTAAAACTCACTATACTTCGTTTCAGCTTCGGTCCGAGCGCGGCTGATGTTATGAGCCTGAGGGCCAATCAAACAGCGAAAAAGGCGCAACGTCATGGCGTGCTCTCTGAAGTTGATAGGACCAGCCGGTATTCGCCGTCTCTCTCTGTGCGCGCTCTTCCGCCGGCTATAGTCCTATCAAGCACAGAGAGCACGCCATGACGCTGCGCTTTTTGCGGTGTTTGATTGGCCCTTTGGCTTATATAACATCGGCCGCGCTCGGACCGAAGCTGAAACGAAGTATAATAATCCCTTTTGTCAGAGAAACGGTACCGGGGCCATCGCTCGGGGTAGGGTGATGAAATGAAATTCGGGGGATACGTGTAGTTTTAGCCTTTCGACGCAATACAAAGTACACATAATGTATCATAAAAACGATATATGTTTTTTTGTTTCTTTTTACAGAATGTCTTTTTATCGGAATTTCAGAGCGGTACGCTCATCGTGGGAAAGAGCGCGAAACAGACGGGGACGTAGAAGAAACACAAGGGACGGGCGCTGACTATCAACTGAAATATTAGAGAGTTTTAGTAATACGTATAGGGGCAAACGCAAACCCCCTACGTTAGCGTTAACGTTGCGTCGACGGAACGTTACGGAGCGCGTCGAATACGCACTTTTAGTACAGCGGAAAAAGAACGCATACTTAAAGACTTGTAGCGCCATCTAGATGTGCTGTAAACTGCTTCAATCAAGCCAAGGCGGGTATTCGGTCAAGCCAATCCAAAGCCCCGATTCTCCTCGCTTTGTTACGGAAGCGCGTATTTCCGTGTGCCTGTTGTGTACGTGTTTTTTTTTTTTTTTTTTTTTTTTTTATACCGATTACACAGTAAACATTTTTTTGGGTTCGACGGCGTCGTCAACGCTTGGCTATCGACACCCATCTTTGTGGGTGCTCGAAAGGGTTCGTCGCGTTGACTTCTTTGAGGAGGTTGATGTCATCTTCAATGGCAAAGCGAACCCGTACAATGCGCGTAGCACTTCCGCTGGTTTGCCTCACCGCCGCCATTTTTCAAACTGGACTAGTCTCGCGCTCTCCCGTGCGCGACGAGAGCAACGAGATGGCACGCAGGGGACCGCTTCGTTGGCTACGTACGTTCGCAAAAATTGATAGCGAGCGTACGTACGCAAGGCTCACCGCAGTACGTACGTATGGCGCATGCGCAGTGTGGAGGACGCAACGTTAACGTTAACGTATGAGGTCTGCGTCTGCTCCTATACGCATTACTAAAACTCTCTATTTTAGTAGAAAAATATGCGAAAACGATCATTCATCTTTGGTAGTACGAACCCCCGCCTGCGTATCACGGGACAATTCATAACAGCGGGACGGCACGTGATAAACGCGATAAAAAGCGGCATGACCCAAGCCCAAATTCAAAAACGCCACCTCACTATCCAGCAGTGCCAAAGACGGTTGTTGACAAAGGAGGCACCCGTCTTTTTTTATTTGGTACGCCTTTCTTATATCCCTAGGCCATTGGCCATTGGTCGGTATCACTTAATCTTGGCTCACACTCACAGTCGCGGCAATGCATCGCAAGATGAGAGTATGCACACCCCTTCTATGAACTATGGTGCTCTCTTAAACGGATGTTCAAACAGCGACCCGTTTGACCGATATATACTGAACCGCATGAGACAGGTCCCTTATGCACTCCTCCAATGGTGCCTGATACGAACTGTGTGCCATGCCTTGCGGTGCAACCCTGACTATCTATTTTCTTTTCCTTTATTTGTACGCTTTTCTATGTGGCGGAGCAAATCTGGCTCAGCTTGTTTCTGGTCGAAATAACGACACTCACTACGTGTCTTACCGCGACTTCCTTTAACCTTTGTAAAACGCGGGGAACGTAAGGGTTGGAAGCCACCTTCATTTTGTTATTCACTTCCCGCTCTGCTCAGTTTTTTGCTGTATTGGCCCTGATACTCTTATTTACTTCTACGCAGGCTGCGGTAATTACCGGATTTGGAAAACCTGCTTCTCGGAGCCTAGCTATTTGAGCTGAAACGCTCTCCTTCATTTTCTGCTCACGCGATTTTGATAGCGCATTCCGAACACATGACACAGCAATTCTGGTTTTGATGAGCTTTGAATGGGCGGACCGAAAATCAAGCAAAAACGTAGCGGCTCTGGAATGGTGAAACCAACAAACATGCTCTTGCTTAACATCAATGCCGGGATTCAGAAACAGAATCTGGTGGTCTTGGGGGTTTTAAATGTGAATTTTAGTCCTAATCCTTCTTCAGTGAGTCTTTAGCACGTTCCGGAGTGTCTGGCTAAAACAGAATGTTTCTACGAATACAAGAATATCATCCACGTATTTGAAGATCCTTTCAGTAAGTCCCTCTAACTTGTCTTCAAGTGTTCGATCCACTTTCCCAAGAAAAATACTTCTCAGTACAGGGGCCACCCTCGAACCAATACACACTCCGGATTTTTGAATACAAACTTTGTCTTGCATTCATTGCAAGTGGACCTTAGATAAACGGACAGAACCTCAAGAAAATCTTAGATTGTCACACTGCATTCAGATCTGAAGGCTATCTCCTTATTTAGGTCCAGCATGCATTCCTGTACGCTCCTCATGAGGTCGTCGTGAGGCATAGAAGAGTACATGTCTTCAACGTCTATGCTGAAAGCACTGGAACCTTTTTTACTTTCTATTGAAAGATCTAATTTGTATGAGAAATTTCGGTGTCCAATAAACACATATAAATTATAAAAGATGCATAAGAGCATATGAGAACCATCTGAGAATCACATAAGCACCATTTAAGAACTATATAAGATATATAAGACCATATACGAACCATATAAGAAACTCTTGAGAATTTTCTTACAAGATTCTCATATGGTTCATATAAGATTCTTATGTGGTTCCTATATGTCTTATATATCTTATATAGTTGTTAAATAGTTCTTATATAGTTTTTATATGTTCTTATATATCTTGTATGATTCATATGAGTTTGTTGGACGCAAGAAATTTCTCATACGAATGGGTTTTTCACTGGGGTCGTTTTTCTTCAAGAACTTGATGACAGCCAAGGGAATTCGATATGCCTAAAGGTTCATTTGGTACCAGCGAATCAAGGTTCCTTTGTAAGTACCCAGACAATGCGTGAAGCTTCGAGAGTTTTTAGAGACTCTGTCGAAAGTTTTTTTCTGTACCGCCATGCTCGCTTTTTCTTTTTTTAAGAACATGCATTCTGGCAGAATGACAAAGAACTCCTCCTTATCTGACACCGGTGCACGCAGCTCATTGGAAGCCAGATATTCTATCAAAGGTCCCAGTGCTCGGCTTCTGGTATGACTACCTTCAGACTTAGCCAGCACGTCCACGCATCTCGAGATGCCTCGGTATTTATTCCTCCGGTACCTGGCGTGAAATTGATATCCTCAGTTTTTTAACTAGGTTGAGGGCCGTCTTGAAGTAGAAGTTCGGGCCCCTTTGTAGAATCAGCTTGTCTATCCGGGACCAGCTTGTGTCTATCCGGGACCAGCTGTTCGCCAAGGATCACCACTGTACCCTATAACTGGCGCTGGTTTTCTTTTTGGTTGGTAACGTGGGGCGCACTTGCATCAAAAGGTCCCGAAGTTCTGCTTCGAGCCAGTCCTCAACCGACTTGAAAAACTGGGATTATTAAGCTCTGTGTCACGACAGGTACCGGAGGAAGGAAAACAGAGATGCATCGTGGAGTGCGTGGACGTTCTGGCAAGGTCTGAAGGTAGACCTATGATAAGCCGAGCGCTGGGACTTGTGATAGAATATCTGGCTTCCAATGAGCTGCGTGCGCAGGTGTCAGGTAAGGAGGTGTTCTTTTTCATTCTGCCAGAATGCATGTTCTTAGAAAAAACGAGCATGGCGGTACAGAAAAAAACTTTCAACAGAGTCTCTAAAAACTCTCAAAAGGCTAAGTCACAAGCTGCAAAGCTACTCAATGGACTTGACCTCCAAAAATTGGCCGCAGGTGTCAAGAAACAGAAGAACCTCGTGTTGGAAGTACTCTTTGTGGCTAAGCACAGTGTTGTACGGAACGGCGTTCCAAGGAACAGCGTTCCTGAAACGCGTTCCTTTTAGGAGGAACGAAGGAACGCCACCGTTTCATTTTACATAGGTGGAACTGGAACGGGAACTCGTTACATTTTTACTGGAACGGAAAGAGTAACGGCGTTCCTTTCTTTCGTTCAGTGGGGCAATTTTTTATTTCATCTCTAAGAGGGAAATTTTAAAAGTATAAGAACTATATCTTTACGGACATATTGTTTTTAACTTGTTAACTTTTTGGTTCGTTATCTTAGGGTTTATTTCGTGTGGTCCTCGCCTGGTAACAGTCGGGTGCAGGAGAGCTGGTGGACAGTGATTTTTTTTTTTTTTGACTGAGGTACAAAAGCAAAACGTATAGACGCAGGTAAAGAGACAGAAAGAGGGACGTTTCAAACTCTGCTCCTTTCTACGCCCCCCCCCCCCCCCGCCCCCTTTCCACTAATCCTCATACTCCCAGAAATCTAAGGCCTACTAAAGCCATTTTTGAACTTCCATAGAGAGACCTACAGTTATAACAATATCACAGACTACCAAGACATCGAACGCACCCTTGTATCCCGAACATTGGTCACTTAAAAGATACATAAAAATTAACCTTTATTCCTTCTCCCCTTGTCCCCCACCTTCAAACTGAACAACGAACCCCACCTTCACAAAGACTTACTTGTAGTTTTCAAGACTAACCTTCCAAAAGCCCTATCCTCTCCTTCACTTGTTCGTCTTGCGGACCGCAACATCGAGGAGCAATGGCTGTTAAACTGTTGTGAAGTTGGAACAGGGGACTTTGTTAGATTGAAACGTGTGAGGTTGTTGTAAAACGCTCCAGCAATGTGGAGTAACAGTACATTTGGCTCGTCTGAATTGCTTACCACAAATATAAATATGGTTAAAAGCTGAGATTTTTAAACTTGAATATATCAAACCTTGATTCCGCTTGTTTTATTTTCTTGGTGCCGTTCCATCACGACACATAAATTTGTATGTTCCCGTTTGATGATATTGATAAAAAAAATTGATTAATCTAATTAAATATGGTAATCAGCAAAATACAAATGTAACGTATATGTAACGATACGTTCCATTTCTTTAACTGTAACGGGAACGAGTTCCTTTTTCACATATAGAACTTGTAACGGGAACGCGTTCCAAAAATCAGAAGGAACGAGGAAGGAGCTTTCGTTCTTTTTTTTTTGAGGAACGTGTACAACACTGCGTCTGCTTCCTCCTCCCCGGCCCGTCTTACCCTCGCCCTACCTTCTTGAGTTGCAACGAACTAAAGAGAGACAATAGAGGCGTACCAAATAAAAAAAGACGGTAGCCTCCTGTATCAGCCAACCGTCTCTGGCACTCCTGGATAGTGACTCCTGGATAGTGAGGTGGCGCTTTGGGGTTTCAGACTAGCGTCATACCGCTTTTCAACGCGTTTATGACGTACCATCACGCTGTTATAAATTGTCTTGTGATACGCGGGTGGAGAATCGTACTACCAAAGATGAATGGTCGTTTTCGTAAGTTTTTCTGTTAAAATATTTTAGTTAATTATCAGCGCTCGTCCCGTGTGTTTCTTTTACGTCCTCGACTGTTTCGCGCTGTTTCCCACAATGAATTCCCACCAACTCGCCCAACTATCCATTCTTCTAAGCGTTACGTTCCAGCGTTATGCAGAGAGACGGGACTTCCTGAGGTCCCGTGTCTCTGTCACGTCATGGTGGCAAGTAACGTCACGTGAGGTGGCATGTGATACTATGACGTCAAGTGAAGTAATCAGGTCCCGTGCCCTGTGACGGTTAAGCGGCACGATGACGCCACAGGGCACCACGACGTCAGGGAGGTATGAGACGTCTCGTGACTCGATGACGTCGCGCGACGTCATGAGGTCACGTGACCTGGAACTTCATGTGATACCACGACGTCACATGACTGTGAACACATCACGCGCCCAGCTCATTTGCAAGACATTGTGTGATGATCCCGATCTTTGTCAGCATGGTCAAGCTTGTGCAATTCTTTTCCTATCACCACAGCCGTGCTTCTATTGGGAGCAACTGTTTTCTACGCTGGTGCAAAAACCGTTCAAGCGGACAATTGTGACGGATGTCTTCCAGTGGTATGTTTGTTTTATTCGTAAGATAGTTTTCAAACGTTTCAATAATGAATTAAAAAAAAAAAAAAAAAACCTTGAGCTCTTATTCGGTGAAAAAAATTTTTCAAACGGCAAGAACGTCAAATAAACAAGATTATTTACGAGGAAAGAAACTTCTAAGTGCATGGCAAATAAAACAAAACCAGAATTTCTGGTACATACACGAATATTTCCGCAGAGGCTTAGTAAATATTTTGGAGAGAAGAAAATGTTCATGCGGTGCTCCCATTTTACTAGTGCATGAAACAAAATAAGCACAGTTTTAAACTTGCGTTGCGAATGGTAGAAGCATCTACAGGCAGCTGGAGAGCTTACGCTTAAATTTCAGTAAAGTATTGATTTACAAGGATTCTGTGTGATTTATTAAATTACCTTTGTTATTCAACCCTAACACGGTCAACAAAAAACTTCTGATTTACACCGGCCTTATATTTCAAACCAAAATGTGATCCTCGTGCGTTACACGATCAGGACGTGCATGCACTGCGGCTGATAACTTTGGATTTTTTTAATATAATTTCAGTCAAAATTGCGCTTTGCGTTCATTAATGTGGTATTTTTCAGGTGAATGAGTGTATTATGCACAAACCAAAATAACGCTTTGAAGTACACAATTTACTAATGAAACAAAAATCCAACCTAATTATTTTCTGAGCAAAATAACAACCTGATCTGACTTAACTGCGTCATAATCTGACCACCAGACCGATGTCCCTATAGGAGATCACGACAGTTATTATACATGAGTATATATATTACTCCTAGTTTTCACCTTTCCTCAGATCTGATCGTACGTGAGAGCTATTCCAACAACTCTCAGCAAGAGCTAATCAGCATATCATAGTGATTTGGTTACTGATATTTTAATAGGACCTACAGCATGTAGACTAACACTTTTGGGGCAATTTAGACGGTCCTCAAAGTTTGATTTCTAAACGTATCGCGCTGCGAATTACTAAAGAGGCGCAAGCAGGTTGTGGAAGTTGCAGTGAAAAAATAAACGAATACGCGTACCTTGTTCTTTAGAAAAAAGAAGCAACAAAAAACGAATACCTGTTTTGGCCAATCAACACTCCAACTTCGCAGATGATGCACGCGTATTTAGAAGTGTTGCCGACAGATGGCGTACGCCTCGTCAAGCGAGCGCAGGCCAGAGGTCGGTATTTTAGGTCGCCTTCACTCACTCTCACCCTCACAGCCACTCATCTTAGCCTCTCACCCACCCTCCCATTTACAGCTACACTCACCCTCAGCCCATTACTCTCCCTCATCCTCACAGTCACACTCACGTTCAGCCCTTTACTTACCCTCACGGCCCTCACGCCCCTCACGCACTCATGGCCCTCACACCCCTCACGCACTCACCGCCCTCAGGCACTCATGGTCCTCACAGCCCTCATTGCCCTCGCGCACTCCTGGCCCTCACACCGCTCACGCACTCACCGCCCTCACGGCCCTCATGTACTCGTGGCCCTCACGCCCCTCACACCCCTCACGCCCTACATGCGCTCACCTCCCTCATGGCCCTCACGGCCCTCACGCACTCATGGTCCACACACCCTTCACGCACTCACTGTCATTAAGCGCTCACGGTCCTCACAGCCCTCACTGCCCTCACGCACTCATGGCCCTCACACCCCTCACGCACTCACCGCCCTCACGACCCTCACAGCTTTCACGGACTTCACGCACTCATGGCCCTTACACCCCTCACGCACTCACCGCCCTCATGCGCTCATGGTCCTCACAGCCCTCACGCACTCATGACCCTCACACCCCTCACGCACTCACCGCCCTCACGCGATCACGGTCCTCACAGCCCTCACTGCCCTCACGGACTCATGGCCCTCACACCCCTCACGCACTCCCCGCCCTCACGGTCCTCACAGCTCTCACGGCCTTCACGCACTCATGGCCCTCACACCCCTCACGGCCCTCACGCACACACAGTCCTCACAACCCTCATGGCCCTCACGCACTCATGACCCTTACGGCCAGACCTGTCAACCCGAGGGAAATTTTCCAGATTAAGGTAATATTCAGGTCTATGTGGGAAAAAGAGAAATCTTGCTAGCTTGAGAAAAATTTTGGGCACCGTGCATATCTGGAATTTTATAGGTCAATTATGATTTTCTTTCGAGGTAACATCGAATTTCAATGGCTTTGGGTACATTTGGGTTATTCCCTTCGTTCATTTGGCAGTTTGTTGTGCGACTACCTGGCAAAACTGGGGAGCACTCGAACGATATTTTTCGGCAAAATCAGTTTTCATCGTCGCCGTGAAAACTGTGCGGAAGGGACCAGTCAATTCGAAACTTCTAAGAGTACCACACTGCCTTTTTGGAAAAGAAAGCTTGAGCAAAATAAGAAATACCGCGATGTCTGGATATACAGACACCATGTCCAAGATACAGACTTACCATGACTAGTATTATTTCGTGAAGTGCCGTGCTCGAAATTGTGCTTACTATGTGTCGTGTTCCATGAGTTCGAGTTTGGGAACTCTAGCTTGTGTTAGAGCTTTTGTTTTGGACTGACTATTATAAAAATCTCTAAAGAGCCTATTAGCATAGTACCATGTTCAGATGACGTGCACAACATCTAAGGCGAGGATAGGGTTTCATTCGTCAGTCTGAGTCTCCCAGTAACACTTTCCCTCGTCAGATTTGCTTTGACCACTCTTTTGGCCCGATAAACTTCTTTTTGCGAAAACGTACGTGAGGCGTAAAGGCTACATAAGACATCTAGCTCACCGTAAAAATGGAAGTGATGCAGGACACAATGAATATTTAGTACTTTATAATTATTTGGGCAAGCAAAGTAAATTTTGGTAGAAAAAGGAAAATTTCAGGCGTCCTTGAGGGAAATTCTGACTTTCCGTGTTGGCAGCCCTGCCTCACGCACTCACTGCCCTCACGGCCCTCACAGCTCTCACGGCCCTCACGGTCCTCACAGCTCTCACGGCCCTTATGCGCTCATGGTCCTCACACCCCTCATGCCCCTCACGCGCTATCCGCCCTCACGGTCCTCACAGCCCTTACGTATACTTATGGCCCTCGCACCCCTCACGCACTCACTGCCCTCACGGCCCTCACGCACTTATGGCCCTCACACCCCTCACGCACTGACCACTCTCACAGCCCTCACGGCCCTCACGCACTCATGGCCCTCACACCCCTCACGCACTGACCGCCCGCACGGCCCTCACGCACTCACGGTCCTCACAGCCCTCATGGCCCTCACGGTCCTCATCACCCTCACTCTCATGAATTTTCGGGGTTCAGAAACTCACTCACCTTCACCTCACCTGTGAAGATGAGGGTGAATGAGGGTCCTCATGAGTGAGGTTTGCCGAGGTATGGCGCAGTCCGATTCGGGCTACAATAGCAGATAATCCCGCAAAAAAACCCGAATCGGTCGGCTCTCTCTCGTCGCGGTGTACGCCATCTGTCGGCTGCACTTCTCACTAAGCGTGTTCAGGCGTCCCGTCTGAAGAAGGTCGTCGGTTCTGCTTTACCGACACTTCAGCCTGGCCGCCGCGAAGTCGGAATGAATCGACAACTACGCGGAAGCTCGAGCCCGTCTTTTGCCGACGCATATTTGTGCTTCGTATGTGTGTTGACTCTGGCTCGTCGAGCGCCCTTGGACGACGAAGGTGACTTCCATGGCAACAGGATGCAGCGGCGCCTTGGGCTACGTGTTGGGTACTCCGTGACATCTGCTACGTGCAACTGCGAACTTCATGTCCAGGAGAGAGTATGGTGGGACTGACCTGCAGTGTGTGATGCACGAACTAAAGAACAGCACCGAGGAAAAGGAGGGGCAGCGAGGATTTTTGAGGAGTGTTTTTAACCGACGGGAAAAGGGGAAGAGAGAGAGGTGAAGAGACGAACTTGGGAGCCGGACTCCGCTTGGTTTTGTGCTGAGCAGTACCTTAGACTTCTGATTAAACAAACGCATTATAACCAACACGCCGTCATGTCTATGACGGAGATCAGAGTCAGGAGCTACCAGTCATCTGTGATCGAAGTATACCTGGCGAGAGGAACTAATATTGCCTTAAAAGCGTTAATCTACATGGTGTAGAGGCCAGACGTTCGAAAGAGACATCTGCCGTTCGCATCATATCAGTGACGGCAGTGTTGACGTTAAAGGAAAGTCGCAGTCTTCTCGGCGATTTTGGATAAGCTCGCGTCATGGGCGCTGACGATGAGAATCGTAGTCAGCGCCCATGACGCCAGGTACATCAGTTACGAACGACAAACTCGGTGAAGTGTGTAACAACTAGGGTGGAAGCTCAGATCCATCGCATTTTTAAACCAACGCCGACATAGTTATCAGTCTGGCATTACTCTTATTTCCGTCGATGGAAGCAGAATTAACCCATTTAAAGACGTCGGAGTTAACGCTTAACTAATCGTGGTAGGCCGACCAAACTAATGTTTTTTAGTCGCGCAACACGCGAAAAATTTGTTTTAGCCCAACTTGGCAAATGACAAGCGCTACGGCCCCAGCTAGACTCTAGCCCCAGCCAGCCAGTCATAGCGTCGGAACAGGAGACCCGGGGAACGTGCCGTCGGCGTGCTCTTTCCCTTTTGAAAGCTGTCACGCGCTTCACTACGTACCTCTGATTTGTTCACGGGGGCGGTAGCCTTCACCCTTTCTCAAGTTACGCTGAAACGCGAGTATAGCCATTTTTACATTGATTACGATGGAACAGTCAATGGTGGAATGAGCATGCACGGAAATCGCACACCTTCCAACCACACTAACTGATAAAATTGAGGGTGAGATTACCTATTTGTAGTGAGTGCGGTTAATCCCACGATTTTGCGCCTTCACAGGGCCCGGGAGTTATGTGTGGTTCTGGAGAAACTCCCGAAGGAAAAGCCGCCCGCCTTGCCGCCGCCATCTCCGGAGCCCTAAGAACGCTCCTCCCCGGAGACATTTGGGACAAGATTCTTCCGAAGGTTGGAAACGTCTCATTCATTTCAAATCGAGATTGCGTATAAAAAGAGTCTAAAAGACGGCCAACGATCGGTCAGAAACCGTTCAGGCGCCTTCCATTCTTAAGCTTTTCCGTGTTTTCTCTTTTTTTTTTTATGTCGCTTTGGTCCTGTGTTTTATATGAATCGAACACGACGAATAACAGTGGTTCCTGGAAGGCGTCTCCGACTAGTGTGCTTTAGTCAAAGCTACTAGAACAACTCAGTTAGGAAACTGCCATAGAGCCTGCTTTGGAAATATGGCTTCTATCCGTACTCAGGAACCGAACTAACGGCGATCGCAACGCCACCATTTCTCCCGCAGCGGCCACGCCGGGAACTGCACGTCTGCACATACCGTTTCAGGTCGAGTCGCGCAATGGACCGGTGGTGACATCTCGCAGCGCCATTTCGCAGTAGCAATATAAATGAACTTTCATATTTTGGCTAGTCGCTAAAGGTGGGCGCTGCTATCGTATTTAGTTTGATCTCGGTGCACGCGAGCGGTCCGGGTTTAAAGGGTGAGTTTCCCCAATTAAGTGTTTAACCGCCGAATTCAGAAACCTCACTCAAACTACACTCAAACTGAAGGGCCCCTTCACTTCCTTGAGGAAGGCGCGAGGGCCGGTGCTGGCCAATCTTGACGGCGGATCCGTCATCGCGATTGGCCAGCGCCGGCCCTCGCGCCTTCCTCGAGGAAGTGGAGGGGCCCTTCAGTTTGAGTGTAGTTTGAGTGAGGTTTCTGAATTCGGCGGTAAGTAACGTTGGCTTCAGCGCATCCTAGGGAGTGGTAGCTCGGTTTCCTCCTGATGGCGTTATAAAAGTGTCCTGTTATCAGTCGCAGCGATTCTGGCGGTGTTACAGCAGCAGTGGTGGGTGTGGCAGACGCCTGTTCGGCTGCACTGGTCGCTCACCAGCTTTGGCTGTCGCCGGGAGCTTCGACAGGCAGGAGTTGGAATGTGGCGATGACAGCGCCACTCGCGTTGGCTCGCGCTTTTAGCTGGGACTCCTAGCACCAACCGCCAGGATCGCGACGTCCAACAACGTGGATTACAGAGCTTCCAACTTCTCGTTCGGAGTCACGTGGTTTAAGGTTAGCGTTTGCAATACGAGCTGCAAGGAGGTGATGAACACATTGGTCATCTGCAAGCGTCTCAGCTTTTTTCGCCCGCTTTCCTACTTGCCACCCGACAACGCAGCACGTGCGCACTTGCGACCAACCTCCGCGCAGGAGGCAGCAGGAATAGCGGGAGGCGTCCGCCACTAAATTGCAAAAGCTTCTCCCCTACGGTTTGAGTTGGAGCCTCTCTACAATCATGGCTCTCTAATGTGATACGCGGGCTTTTCTGACGTCATTTGTTGCCTCCTCGGGACCTCATTTTTGATGTATGGGCGGAAGATATGACGTAGACGCACCAGTCGAAGACGCGTTCCAGGCACCATGATATAACGAACGACAAAAATATCTTGAGACATACCTTATAACGCCAGAATGCGTTATACAGCTTTCACCCATAGCGATTACCGGTTCCACGCCGCATGTAGTGGCGATACGAATATGTACGCTCTATAACGTCTCTACAAAGGCTACAAAGCTACCAATCACCAGCGAATTTAAATCGGCTCACCAAGGATGGAAAGGTCAAGGAAAAACTTTCAGCCTTTCCACACTCGCGAAGAAGAAAGAGCAGCGGAACTGCACTATGGTGGGAATTAAGCGCTCGTCGCAGTAGAACTTGAGGCGATAGTAGCTTCGCGGCGGTTTCGGAACCTTTACGCGCTGCTGCGCACACGTCAACCCTCCCTTCGGCCCCCCCCCCCCCCCCCCCCCTCTTCTTCCTCCGAAAAAAGTGCACGCGTCCGACCCATTGTGAGTGCAAACGGCAACTGATGAGAGCGCAGGAAACGGCGCGAAAAACAGACGAGGACGAAGAAGAAAATAAAGGCCGGCCGCAAGTCGGCAAGCCGGACTGCCGGAGTGGAAAGGCTGGAAAGGTTGCCGCCATCTATGAGCAACGGCGGCGACCACACGGCCGGCAGTCCGGTTGTCTGGTAACCGCAGTCCCTCATACATGGCAATAGCTATCCAGTATTGTGTCGAGATTTATTCACCACGGACACGCGAAACGGGGGAAACTTGCCCTTAACAGCCAGGGTGTAAAAATTGCTCATTTCATGAACCAAAAATGAGACCATTCTGGGAGCTTGGTGCTATCTTTCTAAAGATCCAGTTACTTAAGTTCACAGAGCAACGTTTTCTTACGTTTCCTCATTTTACGAATAAGTCAGCGAAACATTCGTGTCTCAAATGTCGCTCGCCGGTCTACCTCCTTGAGACTGGTATCCATGCTTTATATGAAGAACATATTTTCCGGTAACTGTGGCGTAAGTAGACGTAAGCTTTCGTAATGTAACGTAACTTAAGAAAACGGGACTGTGTGAACTTTGTGTGAACCAGCCTCAACTCTACGTAAGTCTTTATAATAGAGAGTTTTAGACTAGGGAGCCCCAACTTTTGGGTTCCCCTAAGTAATTGGGAGACCCGAACGGAACAAGGTTGGCGTTCGCAACGCAGCGCAGCGCGCTAACGTTTCTTACTTGCAGCGCCAATGCGGCTAATGAGCGCAATATTCAAAAAAGAAAGATATTTAAAAAAAAAAAAAAAAAACGTAAAACATATGCGTTTCGCAAGTACGTTTTGTTTACAAATAATGGTTAAGGTAAATCCCAATCAAGCTGGCTAAAAATAAATAAATCTAAAAGCAGTATAAATGTTGATGGATGTATTCAGAAAAAAACAATCCAATCCGTAGCACTCAAATTTGACGCTTGTTCTCGGATTTTTTGGTCGTTCGTGTGCGCTTTGACCTCTGTCGCCGAAGACTTAAGCCTTCAACTATGTCGAGACCAGGGTGTAAGATAGACAGGTGGGGAAGCGAGAGCCAAATGAGCGACCGGTTTGTATACCCCTCGGTTTTCTCGTTTTCTGCGGGGCCATCTATGTGGAGCACCGCGAACTCTCACTCCAGGTGGGCGACCGGTGGCGACTAGTTAAACTGTCGGAGATGGTTTCTCGTAGATTTTCAATAGAGAACTTTCGTGCTCTCGGTTTATTTTGCGCACTCTCCCATAAATTTCCAAGCAAATCCGGTTCCAATTTTTTTCCTCTCGCCGCAGCGCCACCTGTCGCAAATCTGGGGTACCCGCAAGCAGACGAGTACGCAACCCGATCACGGCGCTGCGGTAGGCTTCTATGGGCCGTTTCTCCACCTGCCTATCTTACACCCTGGTCACGGTGGCCTTCCTACACCGTGACCTCTGGTCGAGACTGAGATGAACGCGAGCGAGCATACTCTGCGAGCAGCTGCTCTATCTAGATCTGAGCTAGAGCAACTTTGAAGCCTCGAAATACTTGTTTTCAAGCGGCAAATATCGTGCCACGTACGAAATCCACTCTCAGCCACGGAGTACAGCAATACGTTGTCAGGTCAACGTTTACCGCGTCCCTTTAGGCTTAGGAACGGCCAGAATCAGGTACGATCTTTGAAATGGGGTGAGCCCACCGCTCATTATGTGTGCCTTGAGCAAGATAAAGCAAAGCGAAAGCCGGTTGCACCATTCATTGGCAATGATTTTAGCCAATAGTGCAGCGACCATCACGAATTTGCTCCGAAACAAGCGGAAAGGGCGCCGCCGTGTTTGCCGACGGATCCACGGCCCCAAGCCAATTGGGGGCCCCACGCTATTTCTCGAATTCTACGTTGGGCGTGAGGGCCAACCCAAAACCCCAAACGAAGTTTGGGTTCTGCGCATGCGCAGTGGTTAGCTCCCATTTCTTTGGGGCCCCCGAGCTTTGAGGCCCCCTATTCTAAAACTCTCCCATGTAGTCAAACGTATACGGACGCGGTACTGCGTAAACGTGTCTTTAGAGACTCCTGTAGACCGTATTCTAGAGCTACGCTTTGCTAGCGGAAGCTCGTGCCGCCCCCTCGAAGCATGGATCGAGTACGTGCCCGCTAGGTCTGCTCTCCGCGGCGTACGGTCTACTACAACTCTCTATTTGTCTAAAAAAAGAAGTGTCGAAAGAGCGTGCTGGCACGTGTGGTGGGCGGTTGTGCAGGACGCGAGAGGGAAGAGAACAAGCATGTGCGTCAGAGGGAACGGGGAGTCCCGAATCATTAGCAGAGTGAAACCTTGAGCTCACAAACTCCGAGAGACGCGAGCTTCGCGTTCCTCTCCCGCCGGAGCATTAGCTTCGGCAGGGCTTTCTTTCAAAGACACTACTCACGATGATGTCAGCCGTCGAGGCAGAAATTACGTGCCAAGTTCTAAATGCAACATCACCGTGAACCAACGAACAGTACGTCTTTTGTTTCCGCTACCTTTGTCGCAATAGTACCGGAAAAGGGCTAAAGTTACTGTTATCTTAATTTCTTTGCAGCTACCCGCTGGTTTCTTCTTCTCCAGACGAACTTTGCCATTAGCATACTTGCCGTCTATCGCTGTCACCAAGTAAATTTTTTGGATAATACACTAGGATGTTTTGGTACTTTCAGATTGTCGACACCAGTGGCGATCGGGTGTGTTACGATGACCTCGGGTGTTTTTCGGCCACCGACGGACTGACTGTGCCCGTGTCCTTCCCGAGCAGCCCGGAGTCAGTGAACACGCAGTTTGAACTATACTCCCGAAGCAACACCCAAGATGCGGTTCTTCTAGATTACAAGCCTGGATCGGTGAACGAGGCTTTGGTTCAATTTAAAGAAAGAAAACCCCTTAAATTTTGGGTTCCTGGTTGGATGGACCCAGCCTTCATACGTCTGCCGGCGATAAAAGCGCTGCTGGAAAAGGTGGGCGTGCATTCATGTTTAGGAAATTTGATGCTTACATTCGAACAATGTCTCGAACTTTGTAGGTTGTTTGCTAGCAATGAGGCACCGCGGCAGAGTGATCGAAAGTTCACAATTGCGTTTTTTTTTTTTCTTCTTTAAAAAAAAGCCTGGATCGTTTTTTTCGTTGAAACAAGTTGGCATCCACCGGTGAGGTACGTATCACTCGTAAAGCATATATGATGTGGTGATACCCTTCTCGCCCCACATCTGTAGGCTATATCAAGTTCTCTCAATATGGCGCCCGGCCGAGGATCAGCGAAAACATAATCAAATATTTCTTATTGGTTGACAACGCTCGCCCAGAACAAACTCTTTGACGTCACGTCCAATCAGCAGCCGAGGATCAAAATGAAACAGTTGGAAAGGAAACGGCGTTTGTTTTGGTCAAGCCGACTAAGCAAATGCAACACATTAAAACGTTCAAATAGACTTTAGCGGTTTATCGTGTATTTTTTTTCCCTCTTGAAACAAGAACATACGACCTCGAGCAGTTCAAATCTTATTTACAAAGAAACAAGTGCTCCCCTTACGGATTCGCGCATGCGCAGCAGGTTGATCAACACACACGTCGTACCGCACTGTGACACTAACATGTCTTTTCGAATATGTTGTTGTAGCGGTCTGCCTAAGTCTAGGCTATTTTGTTTTTCCTACCTTTTTTACTTTTCAACTCCAATAGTGAAAAAGCCATTTTTATGAGAAATTTCTTGTGTCCAATATACACATATGAATCATACGAGATATATAAGAACCATAAAAAAACTTCTCACAACTTTCTCTTACAGGGTGTTGACTTTTTTAGCTGCACCAAATTTAAAAAAAAAAAGGAACGTGTCGTCAAGTTTGGATAAAAAAATTTCTTGTAGGCGCTACGGGGTCGAGAAATGTCACTTTTGTAAATGGCGTCAAACCGAAACAAACAGGAAAGAGCGCCGGTAAAGTTATCGCTCCGCCCTTGCCGGCATGCAATTATCGCGGCCGGCTCCACGTGCTTAGGCGAAGCTGGCTGCGATAAAGACGATCCACGGCGGCCGGAAGGGCGGAGCGATTACTTTACCGGCGCTCTTCCTCGCTTAGTTTCGGTTTGACGCCGTGTACCAAAGTGACATTTCTTGACCGCGTAGCACCTACCACAAATTTTTTAACCAAACTTTGATAGCAGGGCTCGACGATATTGAGGCCGAGCTTCAATCCTCTAAATACATTATGTGTCCTCAAGTGAAAAATTAAAAAGTTAGTTAAAACAGTTTTGTTAATTAGCTAACTAATTACCTAATTTCACCTGTTTTCCTAGAGGCCGCCATGGCCATTAACACTTCCCCACAGCTCAAATTACACTACCTTACGTTCCGCTTTTTTTTAAATTTGGTGCAGCTAAAAAAAAGAACAAAAAAAAAAATACCCTGCATATATGGTATGATTCATACGTGTGATTGGACACAGAAATCTTTCATACAAACAAGATTTTTCAATAGGGTCGCAGCATTCTTATGAAGATCCTGGGTTCGAGCCCCACCCCTGCCCGTTTCGATCTGGATGAGCATCGTACCGGCGTGCGGTCGTGTATCACTACTGCGTGATGCACGTTAAAGACCCCAGGCTAGCGGCTGTACCGCACTGGCTAAATTTCTCATCTACAGCTGGGAGACTCGTCGCCCCTGTGAGGCAGACCAAGTTCTAGGCTGTATAAACACACACACAACCCAATTTTTTTTTAACTTTCCGAACTACCATCGGTAAACGCGAAAACGTCGCGCGAGTACAATGGCAAACAAGAGAGTAGAAGCTGCGACGTGCACGCTGCATATTCAGCGCTCGCTGTGCGTTTTAACGTGACATGCCGCTCTCTGCCTACAAGTTTTACGAAATCTCATTATTCATATAAGCCTTCTCCAAGCGTACTTATATTTGATACAGAACAAAAAGGCTACGTAGTCGAGTTAGCGCGACAATAAACACCATGCAATGTCGTTGTCACGATGATTGCACACGAGTTCTGCTGGGCACATCAGTCGATGTCTTGCACTCAAATGGCAAATACCTCCTCACGTAATATTCAATTTGTGGGAGTAAGAAAACGAGGTCCGTCTCAATTTCTTCAGCCGAATATCACTTTCATAAAATCATGTGAAGCACCACAGAAACAACTCGTGTTTTTTTGTTTGTTTGTTTTTCTTTACGCTAGTAGCTTTGGCACATAAGCAGCTAAAGGTGCCGGTAGATTTATAGAAAATTTTGATACAGCTACAGATTCACCTGAGCTCACCCGTAAAGTTTCTTCAAACACCGGAGGTTCATGCGAGGGTACAGTCAAGTGTTTACTTACTACAATGGCACGCCCTTGGTGGCGGACCGGAAAGCCATATGCTTGTCCTACCTCGTTTTCTTTTTTTTTTTGCAAATGAGGTTTAAAGTGCTTTAAATGCCCGTGAAGCGCCAAAGCCACACCTTGACGTCAAGAAGATTAGTTTATCTCGCGATGAGACCTCATCGACGCACCTTATATATCTGTTAACTTTCTTGAGCGCTCACATGTCCGGTGAATAGCCAATTCAAAAAAAAAAAAAAAGGCTTCTGTCCGGTGTCGTTTTTAGCGTTCGTGCGTATGGCGCGTGCTTTACTCGCTTTACAAAGCGACGGTTATGCGATTGTCATGGGCTATGAAGACAGAACGCTAGGCTGCAGATTCGTAACATTGTTATGGTGTATAAAAACGCCTCTTGTGGTTCATATTGAGTATAGGGGAGTTAATGTTCGGCGTAGCTCGTATTTCTTTATCAAGTAAGGATGGTTTACACCATGTTTTTTTTTTTTTTTTTCATTCGCAGAAGTCGCCTTTTGGGATAAAGTTTGTTGTCTGTAATTTGTACCGTTTCAGGAAGACGTGAATGTGATTCTTGTTAACTGGAATGGCGGCTCTTTTAAGATAAACTACTTTCAATCGGCTGGAGACACTGCCCTTGTGGGGAGACAGATGTCTGTGCTCGTACAGAACCTCATGAGCGTTTTCCCGGACACAGTGAATGCTTTGGATATACATGTCATTGGCGACAGTTTAGGAGCTCAAGCCCTTGGGTTTTTTGCAAAGCACTTGAAGAAATGCACTGGGCAGATCATAGGAAGAATTTCAGGTCAGTCGGCGTTTGGTTGTGAATGCTACGATTTAATAAATAAATATCAACAATTCATTACAGCTTACACAGATCCTAAAAAAAAATGAACATCTGTACAACTTTAGGGTTTTGTGACGTGTTTTTTTTTTACCATCCCCTAAGCAATCTTGATGATATATTGCGACGCTAAGTTACTATTTGCATTCAAAAACAGTGTACGAAAGTCAAGGTTTATTAATGGCCGTTTACGTATAGGCATAATTAGACATAAACAATAAAAAGATTAAGCCAATTTAAGCTTGCCATTGTACCAAAGAGGTCAATGAAACTCGGACAATGTACGAAATCGCCTAAACATGCCTTTTAATTTGATTTCTGTGCTACCCTGTTTTGGTTCGAAATTATTTCATCATAGTAAAGAAGTGTCCTGCCGCTTATTACTTTGATGGTTTTTATATTTTTTAGAGGAGAGTACAGTAATACCTTGTATTATATAATTTGTCGTGTTATTTTTTTTTACAACCGTACAACCACAAGCAGTCAAGCTGCTTGCACAGCTTTTTCCCTCACCTCCCACCATGCTTACATGGTGAACAAAGCTATTGCTATTATTGCTGTTACACATACAATTTACGCTCAACAAGCTGTTGCGGTCCATAATGGTCAGTTTGTTTTAAAATAGAAAGAAGAAACAGAAGTGTCGCATAAGACGTATATTATTTGCTCTAATAAAAAGAAAACTTTAAAAGGCCATTTTTTTTGCATGTATATTATGGAACGTGCCAATCGCATCTGATGTTATTGCCTATAGTCTGTTGCAGGTTAAGAAAAGCAGGACAAGCTCGACCCACTAAGATTTTCACTCTGTCCACCTTAGCAGAGCTAACTCTGAAGCGGAGAGAAGTGGGGAAAAGGAAAATACCAATCATGGCGAGGAGAGAGCCTCGTGGGACGGGCTTGTGCTGCTCTGCCTAACCTGCGACAGATTATTGTGTGACGTCTTGAACTCTCAAAAAATGTCCTACTTATCACTTATGGCTCCCGGACCCCGCGTTCATTTAATCATTAGTGTCAATTGCTGAGAAGCATGTTATGTTTCCTGCGCAGCGAAAAACTGCTCGCCCTTTCAGGAGTTTCAAATACGTGTCCATGTAATTTTAACATTCACCGTGCCCTTCGATATTGCTAAGAGCCAGTCAGCCGCAAAACGTTGGTCCGGTCGCAGATCTGACTGGAAAATGTCATTGGCATCATCACGTTTCTATTGCTTCGGTTAGTTGGGAATTATAGTGCTCCGGTTGCAGCGAGACGAACCCTGAGAAAAAAAAAAAAAACAATGTTAAAAAACTACAACCTTTTCGAAATTACACGGGCCATATTAGCGTTCTCTTTTCCAGCTCCTCATCCTATACTGTTGTGCGCTGGTGGAAGTGGTTTTTGACAGCTTCTGTATTTCATTTACGGAATACACGTTGATGACGATAACATATTTACTGATGGAACCAGTGCTGCTTTATATTGTCTCTCCGCCTAAGCTGTGTGATGAAAACAACACTCGTCAACAGTTAGAGTTGAATTTGCTGTAACACTGCAATCTAGAGTGCCTTGCAGTATGATCGCCCTTACACCACGAGGGCAGTTTTTAAAAGTCGCATTATGCATTGTGGTCCTCTTGAACTATAAATATGCCGTTTATTTTGTTATTTTATTGTATACATTTTATATAAACAGTCAGATATACTAAACAGGGGATGTTCGTTTCAATATTTCTTTTGCAAACTTAGTTATAGTTTCTTTTTTAATCCAAAAGTGTTTCCCCCCTTAGCCCCCTTTAGCCGTGGCTTCATGCCAACAATAATATTGCTGCAACATCAGGCATGTTCAGTAGTGACAAATGTAGCTATTGTATCGTAATATATCTGAGCTCGTTTTGAGATGTGAAATCTGATTTAAATTTTGTGCTATCTTTTCTTTGGCAGCCAATGAGCCCGCGGCACCTTTGTTCGAAGACACCGGGGTTTTCGTATCGTACAAGGACGCAAAGTTTGTGGACGCCATTCACACCACCGGAGGTGATATGTTCCCCATCAGAGAGATCGGCATGTTTCAACCAATCGGACATGTTGACTTCTACCCCAACAACGCCAAGAGGCAGCCAGGCTGTGTTTTGCCCAGTAAGTGAGCGCTGTCTATAAACACAGGCAAACACGGGCGAGAATTATTATTGCAAATACCAGTATTCGCGTTAAACTCCATATGCTCCGGTGCTGATAAGAGAACAGACTACGAGTACGAGAAAAGGTTGCCTATTCGGAGAGTAAAGGGAAAGCTATCAGAACATCCACAATCGCAGTATGCATATACACCCTTTTCACAAGGGTGCAGCCATCTTGAACGGCATCACCTTTGGTAGGAGCTAAAACATCGTTTTTATGTCTCGACGCAGCTGTAAGGTGTTCACAAGAAATGAGTGATTGTCACACGTTCTTGTTTTGCCTCATTTATATGTACTCGCACACTCCAGGCTGAAATGTCTTATATTTTTGTTTTCGTCCCGCATACCAGATATGAAACCCACTTGACTGAAAGTTATGTATAGGCGAAAAACGTCTATGCCTAACTCTGAAAGACCGAGCTTCTAAATAATTGCTACTCTTCAAGGTAGTACGCCAGGTGAACGAAGCGTGACAATCCTAGGGACCTAACTCGAGCCAAATATGGTTTTACCCCAAGGTGTTAGTGTCAGAGTACTTTCTTTTTAGCGGTTCTATGGCTTTTCTTCGACTCGCCACATAATAGCCGAAGTGCCAGACTTGAGCCAAATATGCCACGTAAGGGTCAAAGAACCAACGGTGAAGCCTAGATCTAACACCTGTTTGGCAATTTATGCCCAAAATTGCCAGATAGAAAATGAAAGACGTTTCCTAATCTCTGTAATGCGAAACTGGAGCGCAGCTCTTGAGGAAGAGGAGGGGAGGGTATGCCCCTCGTTCTCCTCGCAGCCTCCTCTCCTCCTTTCCTCCTCCTCATAGCCTCCTCCCCTCCTTTGCTCCCGCCCCCTCTTCCTTCCCTTCTCCTCCTTTCCTCCTCCTCTCCTCATGCCGCTGCATGTGTTCATGGGTGACGTGACGCAAAGTCGTGACGTCATTTTGCCCGCTAAATTTAGCGGGGAACCTTAATTGGTGTCAAGGTCACGTGACGTCGATTTTCCCGATAAATTTTGCGGGGAACTTAACCCGCTAAAGTTAGCGGAAAACTTCCCCCCTAAATTTAGCGGAAAATTTCTTCCGCTAATTATAGCGGAGAAACGTCCCATAATGCAACGCGCGTGATTATGCCGACGTCGACGGCGACGCCGCTGAAGCCGGAATGGGCGCCTAAGAGTTGCGCTCGAAAACCGAACTATAGAAGTAAAGCCTAAGAATTTGGCGCTCGCTTGGCGATTTAGTAACAAAGATGCCAGACCATAATCAAACTATCAGCAGTGAAGCCTAATTCTGGCACTTGTTTAGTGAATTACGGTCAAGGTACCCAGATTCTGGCCAAAAAAAGCTCAAGTTTGGCGCTATCTTGGTTTCTTCGGGCTTTTTAAGGCCCTAAATTCACAGACAAAAACCAAAATGTTGACCTAAGGAACCGTACGAGCTGGGGTTCCATAAGTTCTCGAATGCCCCTTATAAAAAAATATAATAATTCTATAGTGGTTGTAGGGATCGCTTGAGAATTTTGTCGTTTCCTGGAAACTGAGTGAATCGACCTTCAACCGTTCGGATGGGGGCACCCCGACGGCTCGCCCCGAGCATAGGGGGATGAGCGGCTTGAGCCCTTTTTAATCTTTGGCCCGGGAAGGAGACAGACATTCTTGCCTGTCGCCGCGAGGTAGTGGCATCCTCCCCGGCTTTGTCGTCACGGCGCGTTCCCAGTGACGGCTTGTCCAGTCGGGAGACTGCTACAATGAGGTTTTAGCGATGAGGGGCGCCGGTCTGGGTCCACTTGGACTCTATTACGCTTTACTCGCTAAGTTCGAAGGTCACGGCGCCAATTTGTTTTGACGCAGCGAAGTGGGGGGTGTTTTCCCCGTAAAGCGGTAAAGTATCGCCCCGATTGAAGAGTTCCCCTAAGGGTTTAGCATTGTTTCTCTTCTTAGAAAAGGAAAATAACGAGTTCTGTGGTCTTTCTGTGATTGGTGAAGGACCCGCTGGCACTGGGGCCAATAGAATTGTATAATCGTCCTGATTGGACAGGCCCTGTGTCAGCGGGGAGTTTTCTCGTCCGCGCTGGCGAGGAAACATTGAGTTTGAACAAGCCCGTGCGCGGAGCAAGTTATCTCCCGCGGTCCGCCGGTCCGCGTAGCTTTGTCGCGAGAGAGAGAGAGAGAGAGAAAACATCTTTATTGACCCTCAGTTCAGGGTGTCAAAGTGGTGTCCAGGAGGACGCCATTCAGAAGGGTGAGGATAGGTGGATCATGAGGGATTGGTGGCGTCTTTCGATGCCCTCAGCTTCTCTTCGATGGTTGTGATGTGGTGAAGAAGGGCGTCGAAGATGGCGGGCACGTTTTGATGATTTGTGGGAGAGAGCCACTCTTTCCATGTCGTGGGCCGAAGCCCGGGAGGGAGCTTGGAAAGTGTAGAGCGGATGGATGGTTGTGCGTGGAGGCATTGCCAGTAGGTGTGCGTGTTGTTTGGGTAGCCAGTGCAGAAGGGACACTTAGCTGTGCCCTGAGCGCCTTGGAAGAGATGAGTATAGTGTGGGGAGGATAGCGTGTGGGTCTGTGCTCGGCGTATAGTGCTGGCCTGTTGTCAAGAGAGTGTGGGAGGCGGTGGTACGAGGGCGAGTCTGGATTCGCGGAGTTGTCGGAGTGTGTCAGAGCGCTGTTGATGGTATTCATTGCGCTGGAGTTGGGGGTCATAGGACGTAGGCCAGTCAATCGCAGGTCCCGGAGTGGAAGTGACTCGGGAAAGTGAATGTGCTCGTTCATTTCCTGGGATTAAAGCGTGGCCAGGGATCGAGTAGATGTAGAAGCGAAGGGTGGGGGTGGTGTTGAGGGCGGCTCGAAGCTCACGCGACATGTAGTTGGGGAGTTGGTTGTACTGAAATGTGCGAACTGCTTTTTGGGAATCTGTCAGGACAGTGATGGAGGTGTGTCCCTCGTGGGGGTTGGTGATGGCATGGAGAATGGCGGAGCATAGCGCCTGAGTCTCCAGGAGGTCTGCCGAAGGCGCTTCGGTGTATGTTTGCCTAAGCGTTGTGTTGGTCTGGGGACAGTGAATTGCGGTGCGGCCGAGTTTGGTGCCACGGTCGTAGCTGGCGTCTGTGTAGTAGATGAGGTGCTGCTGTGCCTGAAGTGTGGCGAGTTTTTGGGATATGAGTTTGGCTCTGTGCTTGCGGCGTTCCGGGTTGCTGTCGGGATTCATATGTTTGGGTATGGGGAGTGCGGTGATTTGGGGTATGGTATCCCAGGGAGGTGTGGTTGTTTCGATGGGAGGGAGGTGCAGGGTGTCGTAACCGAGAGAATTGAGAATGTAGCGACCCTGCAGAGACGTGGTGAGGCGTTGCTGTTGACCCAGTCGGTGCAAGTCGACTCGCTCCTCGAGTGTGTTGAAGGGGTCCATCTGTTGTAAGTGCTCTAGGGGAGCGTACTGTGGCACGCCGAGAGCAAGGCGGGTGGGTTTGCGGAGCTGTGTCTGGAGGTGTTTGAGTTGACGGGCAGTGAGTGGGGTGTAGGGGATATGGTAGAGTACGAGAGAGTAGATGAGAGCTTCGATGACTTGTCTCATGTCGCTCTCTTTGAGGCCTCTGTGGCGCCGGGAAACGCGGCCGAGGATGTGTGTGATTTGATTTATTTGTTTGGAGAGGGTGGAGACGGTGATATCGCTTGCACCGTTGTTTTGGATGGTGAGGCCTAAGAGCTTGATGTGCGGGCGTTGGGGTATGGGAGTGCCGTCGAGGTGTACGGTGATCAGCTGCCTGTCGGGATTGTTTTTGCGGTTGGAGATGACGAGGAGTTCCGATTTGGATGGAGAACAGGCCAGACCTATACTAATGGCATAGCGTGCGACAGTGTCGCAAGCGTGTTGCAGTGTCTCTTCCTGCTGGCCGGGGGAGCCAGTGTTGGTCCATAAGGTAACGTCATCGGCGTAAATGGAGAATTTGAGGTGGGGGATGGTGTCGAGTTGTGCGGGAAGTTTGCTCATGGCAAGATTGAAAAGGGTGGGAGAGAGGATGGAGCCTTGTGGTACTCCTTGGTGTAACGGAAAAGGTGTGGAGATGTGTCCAGGAATTTTAAAGGCGGCCGTGCGGTTCGATAGAAAGTTGCGGATGTAGTTATACATTCGAGGGCCGCACTGCGTTTCTCTGAGGGTACTGAGTATGGAGTCATGTGAGACGTTATCAAAGGCTTTGTAGATGTCCAGGCTTAGGAGTGAGCGGAGTTGTGTGGTACTTTTGTCTTGGAGGAGGTCATTGTATAGCCGAAGGAGACAGTCTTGTGTGGAGATATTCTTGCGGTAGCCAATGAGTGTAAAGGGTAGGGCTTTCACGTGCTCGAGATGCCATTCGAGGCGTGTGAGAACAAGCTTCTCAAGAAGTTTGCCGGTGCACGAGGTGAGAGAAATGGGTCGTAGGTTCTTGACTTCGGAGGTTTTGTTTGGTTTGGGGATCATGGTGATGATGGCGTGTTTCCATTCTGCTGGTATGTCGCCAGTTTGCCAAACACTATTGAAGTAGTTTAGGAGTTGTTGGAGTTGTGTGTCGTCGAGATTGCGGAGAAGTTGATATGTGATTTGATCTTCGCCAGGTGATGTGTTTCGTTTGAGAGAGTCAAGAGCCCGCTTTAGTTCGTTGAGTGGGAAGGGGGCGTCCATGTCGCATGGGTCGAGGGGAGGAGTTGGAGGTTCTGGTGTGTGTGATGTGTCGGTTGGTGGTGGAAAGAAGGTGTCGCGGAGTTGCTGCTCGAGGTCGCGTGCGAGGTAATTTTGCTGGCGAGCATAATGCGTGTGAGGGGGTCGCGAGGTTGAGAGGGTGTGAGGAGTGTGCGTAGGATGCGCCACGTTTTTTTGGTGCCGAGTTGGCCGTTGAGGGAGTCGCAGAGTTGGAGCCAGTTTTCGGTGGTGAGTTGCTCTGCGTAGGTTTCGGCTTCTTTGGTGATGTTGTGAATTTTGTGTTTTAGGTGTTTGGAGTGCTTGGTTTTCTTCCATTTTTTCACCAATTTGCGCCTAGTTTTCCAGAGGTTGAGAAGATGGTTGTCAATGTACGGGTTAGCGGTTGTGGTTTGGGCTTCTTTGGTGCATTCGTTCTGTTCCTGGAGGAGATGGTTGGCCCAGGCTCTGGGATCAGCGTCCGTCGGTGGGGGGTTGTTGGAGGTATGGTAGCGAAAGTGATCCCAGTTTGTGATGCGAGCAGTATTGCGACGTACTTTCTGTTTGACGTTGGTGATCAGTGTGAGGTGGATGAGGCGATGATCGCTGCCTAGCTGCTCGTCAGATGCGGACCATTCAGCAACGGATGGGCCGTGATGGAAGGCCAGGTCGGGATTGGTATCGCGCTCTACACTGTTACCGGTGCGGGTGGGTTGTGTAGTGTCGTTGGCCAGTGTCATCGACGCTTGGGCGGTTGCTTGTGCGAGGAGGCGCCCATTGTGTTGAGTGTTTGGGTAACCCCAGGACACATTGGGGCTGTTGAAGTCTCCGACTAAGAGGATGTCGTGGTCTGAGTTGTTTGCCACGAGTTTCGTGACCCAGGGAGTGGGATTTGCGACCTTGCGGCCCGGTCGCCAGTACGCGTTGACGATTGTGATGGGATTGGGGCAGTTGCGGGGTTGAAGGGTGATGATGACGTGCTCTTGGTGAGCGGTGTTGATGTCTGTTGTGTTGAGTTGTATTGACGGGTGTTCCTTAGAGATGTATGTCGTGACGAGTGGGGGGGTATATGTGTTTTGCCTGCGGTCGGTTTGAGTGATGCTGGGTTGGGTGTAGGGTGTGTATTGTGGAAGGTTGTGAGTGCCCTGCGTGTCCTGAAGAAGGATGACGTCAGGTTTGCGATCTAGCGTGTTGAGGTATTGGGTGAGACTGGCTCGTTTACGTTGTAGGCTGCGGCAGTTCCATTGTAGGATGTGTATAGATTGTTTAGATATTGGTTTCGTCATCAGTTGATGAGGTGTCGATATTTTGACGGGGGATTTTGCTTTCAGGGTTGTAGGGGTCGTCTGCTTTTCGTTTTGGGTGCTGAGGGCCCTGTGCTTTCAGTTCTGCTACATCCTGCTCGAGAGCGGCCAGGCGCTCCTGAATGTTTTTCAGAACGAGCATGATTTGCTTGAGTTCGATGGAGACCTGGGGAGTGACGGGTTGAGAGGGGGGAGGTAAAGTGTCCATGTGTTGATTTTCTGGTGCTACGTTTATCGCTTGTACTGTGTTTGGGGTGGTTGGTGTGCGCTTGGCAGCGAGAAGCGCTTGTTTGTACGTGTCGGATGCAGTAATGGCTTGGGGTATGGATTTGGGTCGGGATGCGTGTGTCGGGTGTAATGTGGAACGGAGTGGCTCTCTCACCTTGTTGTTGCGGCTGAGACTCCGGGTCCTGCGATGTTTCTGAGTTGAGCCTCGTGGGATGGGCGGTAGGTGATAATTCTCCTGTCTGGAGTTGGTAGTGGGCACCTTGTCGGAAGGAGGTGCTGGTTGGTGGGGCGGGTTGGGAGTGGTCAAGGCTTTCCCACCCTTCGGTCTTGGTGGTGGAGGAGGGGTGCGCAGTGTGTTGGGGATGGTTGTTGCCTTGGGACGCTGCTGTACTCGCCGTTTGTAGGCAGCGAGAGTGGCTTGCGCATCGGCTTGCTTTTTGGCGGGGCAGTTCGGGTCCTTGGAGGCGTGCTCTTCTTTACAATTGACGCAGTAAGGAACGCAGTTGTGAAGGGTGTCCGAGGTCATGTTTTCCTGGTAACAGATGTCGCATACTGTAAGCTTGCCTTTCTTGGGGCAGACTTCCGCGCGGTGGCCGAGTTGGAGGCAGTTTTGGCATTGTTGAGATTTTGGCTTGTGTGGGTGGCACCGGAATTGGAGGCGGCGGTAGTATATAGTATAGGGCACGTATGTGCCTTCGAAGGTGATGAGTACCGTTTCGGTCTTGCCCATCATGCGAGCGGTGAGTACTGGGACATTGGATTCGATGTTGGCGATGAGCTCGTCGGGGGCGGTGAGAGACGCGACGCCGTGGATGACGCCCTTGCAGGAGTTGGTGGGGGCCGAGGGGTAGCTGGTAACGGCGTAGTCGCGATTTGCAATGGTGAGTTTCGTGGTCTGCAGGAGCTTTTCCTGGGCCGAGGGTCGGTAGGTGTCGGCGATGAGGACGTTTTGCACGTCACGGATTTTGAAATACGTCTCTTTCGCTTCCGATGGCGTAAGGTGGGCGGCGGCGGTTACGGCATCGGTGAGGTGGGTAGACTGGAGTTCCGATAGGGAAACCCCGTCGGTCAGCTTTATGACGATGGTGAGGTGACTTTTCGTTGGTTTTGTAGAATAACGCACGGTAGTCCATGGTTCAGCGACGGGCGGAGTCATGGCGGGAGCTTCGGAGAAGCAGCGCGGTGCCGGAGATGCAGCTGGGCGGCCGGCCGGGGAGTGGGCCTCTCGATGTTTAGTCTGGAGGCTCACGTTACGGAGCAGGGAACTCGGCGAGAACGGAGAGCTCGAAGAGCACGACCGTTCTCGACGGAGGCTGAGCGAGAACTCCTTTGTCGCGAGCGACGAGCAGTTTCTTTGAGCCCCGCCGTGCGCGGTGGGCACTTTGCGCCGAGGCGCGGTTTTTTTTTTTTTTTTTTTGGTATTTCTACTGCCGTGAGCGGACAGTAGAGTCCTGTAACCAAGTTTGCTGTTGACGTTTCAATATATTTGTTTTTATCAATCGTTGCTCTCGACTTTGAGCGTCTTTCTTCGAGGCTCCGCCACCACCAACAAGCACCGAAGCAACCATCCAGCGCGGCAGTCCACGATCGCCCGGCCCTGACCTACGACTTCTAGGAAGGACCGGGACAAAACAACCTGGTGACCGTCAGGGAGGGGCGCATTCTTTACTGTGGTGTTTAAGGTTTACAATATAGCTAATAAGTTGTCAATAATAATGACAATTGCCATCTGAATGTTTTTCTTTCTTTTTTTCTGCAGATGCGTTTGGTTGAAATGTACGCATAGGAGAGATCACTTTATTACTTTAAATGAAAATACCCGATTCTTAAAAAAAAAAAAAAAAATTCTAGTAACTATTTGGGGGAAACTAATAAATGCCGTCTAGCGATGTATTACAAAATTAGGTCAACCCATGTGCGGGACCCAACGGTAATCTGACAAACGCTTTCCGATCGTTTTAATGTTTGTACGCGTATTCCATTTCAGACTTTTCCTGCGGCCATGCCCATGGATCCTTTTACTTCCAAGCGTCAATCACAAACACGGACTGTCGCTTCACGTCAACGCCTTGCGCCGGTGGAATCACCGCAGTACAGCAAGGGAATTGCGGATCTGGCACTGGGGGCAACGGGGAGATGGGCTACTACAGCATCAACGCGACCGGACGCGGAATACAGACGCTGAAGACCAAAGCGCTACCTGGTTATTGCATCACCGAGGAGTAGAAGAGCACCCTGCCGTGCATCGATTGTAAACTTCTCAGCGATGCACGAAGATAATCAATAGTTCAGACACCTGATCTAAGAAACCGATGGCATTCCGCACTAGCGAGAGGCTCATAAGGATTACATGTTGAAGACGTAAGCGGTGTACGTACCACATGGCTGCTAAAAAGGAACAGCTTTTTTTTTATCATTGAAGTAGGATAGCTGATATAGCTTTGTTTTCGTTAAAAGGATGACCGAAAGGTGCCTTAATGGTTAGTCGTTTTTACCCGCTTATTTCATGGCAGATACTCCACTGGAAGATTAGCAGCCGTTTGGCCTCTTGCGGACAGCTTATGGTCGGTGAAGACTAACAGTATCGTTTTGTCGATGTGAATATTTGGCAAGCTCACCCTATGGTGAGCCACATGAGTGCACCAGTTTATTTTATCTAATGAAACCTTCAACTTTACCTTAATGTCGTTAAGGTATTTAAAGATTGGTTATACACCAACTCATGTTTACAAACAAACCGGAGCGCCCCTAGCGGACGCCACCGGCGCCGCGCATGCGCGATGGGGGTGTGGGCAAAAAGCTCGCCGTCGCCCATAAACAAACCATTGAAATGCGATGTTGTCGGCGTCGGTGTGAGTCCCCCTGCCCTTTTTCGCGTTCGAATTGTTGATTCTACGTCTTCCTGGCGATCTCTGACTACTTGAGCGGTGTTAGCGAAATTACCGAGGCTCGTTACACCGCGAAACTTCGCCTGAATAATGTGACATGTGGCGATTCATTCCGCGTGGACGCCGCAGTATGTACGATAAAACCTGATTCGCATGATGAGATTGCGCTCGCAATTTTCAGTCGCGACGCCGCTCGGGCTGCAAAAGCTTGTACCGTAGCTGAGATAGTCGACGTCGATACTGAAAATCGCAAGTAGAATCGGACTAAGTCAATTAGGCATAGCAAGTCAGTGATGGTCACTCGTTACAATGATCATCTCCTTGTATTTACTGTTTACATCGAGCCTACTTACCAACCTTCAAACTTAAGTGTTTTGAGGCCTGCACTTACTTCGTATAGCAAGTACCGGGCCAACATTTAATCTACGGCCGGCGTCGTCTAAGAGAGCAGACGACAAGCAGAAACGTTTGAAAGAGCAGACGACAGTTCGAACGATCAGGCGGCCGTTTGAGCTTGAAGACGCACTGAACGTAGTCCACAGGTTGTTCGCACAACTTGACAGTTTTCTGGCGTTCATGTTGGAACAAAACAAATAAATCTGATGACCACAAGTGTCCGTGAATTCAACCCAAAGTGCTTCCCGCCCAAGCAATCGTTGTCCGACGGCGTCTGCTTTTCCATTTCACGGCACATATCCAGATTCTCGGACGAACCGAGCACGTGAAAACTGACCTTCAAACCTTTCTCGACACTTTTGGTACGGCCCCAGTCGCGGCGTTTTGACGAGAAGGCAGGTTTTTGTCTGGTTCCTTTCAAAACAACGCAGGAATACACGTCTGGCATGGGTACTTCTGCCCACACCCCCAGACCGGAAGTGCGACCGACGCGCCACCACCGCGCCGTGACGTCACAGAGATGAGTTGGTGTATAATGTCTTCATCATCCAACGTCGCAAATTAGCATTTAACGACATATTCCTGCACAGATCATACCCGATATACATTTCCGCCATTGACAATGTGTAAGCTATACGAAAATAAAATTTGCGCGTAAATAAATTACATTATTCTTTGACGAAAGGCTATAGTTCTTTAGCTCTATGCCGAATATGTAAATCAAGTTCTGGTACAGGCTGTTACTGAGATCTTTCATGTAGCATCCTCGTCTTGTACATTCGGTGCAGCGCCTAACCGTAACTTTTGAAGAGAAACATCGCTTTTCCCGGAACGTGTTCTAAGGTGTATACTCGTACTGGAACAGGCGCATTCGGAATCGCTGCAGTCGTGGGCTGAGCTTGTCTAGTCGTTTTGTTGTCATGAGGGGTACCAACGGTTTGTGGTCTGTCTCAATGTGACACTGCAGTCCTAGGCGGAAGTGATCACATGCCCATGTGATCGCGAGCGCTTTTTTCTCGATTTGCGCGTACCGTTGCCCCGTCTTAGTGAGAGAGCGCGATGCACAGGCAATGGGCAGTCGCTTGCCGTCGGTCTCTTGTAGCAAGACCGCACCAATTCCGTAAGATGATACGTCCGCTGAGACAATGAGAGGCTCCTTCGGATTGTAGTGCGTCAGAACTGGCGCTTTGGCTAGCGCTTCTTTCACGGCTTCAAAGCTTTGCTGCTGGTCGGGTCCCCAGAGCCACGCAGCATCGGTGCAGAGGACATCTTGCATTTGCTTTGTTGTGTGTGCCAGGTGTGGCAAAATCAGACTTGTACCGTACGCATTACAAGTAATCAAATTACTTATAATCGATTACTTTTTGGAGTAATTTTGTAATCAGTTGATTACTTTTATTAGGCAGTAATCACAAGAGTAATCTGATTACTTCTTCAAGTAATAAAATTACTTGTAACCATTACAATCTGTCCACGGTACCCCCCCCCCCCCCCCCCCCCGGCACACGCCTTTTTTTTTATGAAATGGCAAAAAAAAAATTTTGCTTTTTTTTTTCGAACGAAAAAAAAAAAAAGATTTTTGCGGAGCTGTAGGAAACGAGGTCAATCTCTTTCTATGTACAGTTTCCGTGGAATGTCCGTTTTTTTTGTTTGTTTTTTTCGAGCTGGGACTGGGAGTGGGAAGCCCCAGGCAAGCCACGGTGCGTGACAAAGGCCATTCAGGGCGAAGTTTGAGGAAGCAGAATCTAGCTTTGTGACTCCTTCGTTCAAACTAGCCCCCTCACGCACACACACACAGAAATAAAACGATAAAAAAGTCCTGCTTAGGGTACCTACTCGCAGCCCATAGGAGAACCAGAACCGAAGAATGCCTAAACCGGATGCAAAATATAACAAAGGCAGTTGAAATATTTCCCCATTTCCCCTTCGTGGTCCTTGTGACAAGCAATGTTTCGAGTTGAGAAGTGGTCAGGGCGGTCTCTTCCGCTAATGGTTACTACACATGATCAGTTTCAAATCCTGGAGCTGCTGCTCCTTTGTATAGCATGCGAGCTCATTTACATGTGAATAATAAAATGAGAGACGCAAACTTTGAGCGACAACCCTTGCTCAAGCTTAACAAGATCTAGAACCCCCTCCGCTCCTCCCCTCCCCTCCCCCCCCCCCCCCCCCCCCACACACACACACGCACACTGGCGAACGCCCAAATCATTAAACGTCTTCAAACGAATTCTATGCTTGTGTCCGCATTGTGAAGGTGCAACGACCACGAAGAGGGAGCCAGTTTTTCTTCTTCAATACTTGTGCAAATGTGAAATATATGTTGGAAGTAGTTCGTTGTTATGAGCGCTAAAGATGTGTCTTCACGCAATAAAGTAATCGGAAAAGTAACGATTACTTCTTTAAGTAATGTCCAACTACTTTTGCCGTCGAGTAATCAAGTAATCTAATCGAATACTTTTTAGCCAAGAGTAATAGTAATTGTAATCGATTACTTTATTTTAGTAACGTGTACAAGACTGGGCAAAATTAGGCAAGGTGGTTTCCCCATCCCCAAGAACGATCTCAGTTCTTTCACATCTGATGGTGGTGTGATCTGTGTGATCGCATCGACTTTTTCAGGATCAGGCTTCACACCTCTGCCGGAAACGATGTGACCTAGGAACTTGACTGTCTGCTGTAGGAAGGCGCACTTGTCGATGTTGAGTGTAATGCTGGCTTTGCTGAGTCGTTCAAAGACTTTAACTAGGTTTGCGTCGTGCTCAGCCCGTGTTTTCCCCCAAACGATTACATCGTCTTGCAGGCAAGCTTGGCCTTCCACTCCCTCAAGGACTTTCAGCATTTCGCGCTGAAAAAACTCTGGTGCGGTCGAGATACCGAAGGGAAGGCGAAGAAACTTGAAGCGTCCGAACGGCGTCAGAAATGTCGTGCATTTCTGCGATTCCTCTGCCAGAAGAGCTTGCCAGAATCCAGCTCGAGCGTCGAGTTTGCTGAAGACTGTGTCTGTCGTGGTCGAGATAAGATTGATTTAACTGCGTAGGTTTATTCTATAGCATAGCAATACAGGTAGGTGTGAGTCGTGCCGTGTCTGGTCACAATCTGGTGGAGAGAGGGTCCGCGCGCGGGAAGCGGCGGGCAGAGTCCAGGGTCACCCGGCGGCTGTAGCGATGATGATGATATCCCGACAATGACCCCTTTAGCTTAATTGATATTACACTATTTCCTCTCTTTGCTAGCTGAATAACTCTTTTTGTAGCGTTTTTTTTTTGTGTTCTTTTGCATGAATGAGTGTATTTTCGTCTGCGCCTCGGTAGATTTATGATTTTGTATTCCACGCGTTCGCACATATCATGCCTTGGCCTTTTAACGATGACTGAAAGCCCATTTCAAATAAATAAGCCATAAATTATTCTTGTCCAAAGTAATGGCGACCGTCAAATAATAAAGTACGTCCAGACTGCCGGATATTCTGCCCTCTCAATGAAACAGGTGTTTCCGCTCGTAGAGAACGCCGGCCTCCACAGTTACGTTGAATATTTTGAACGAATATTTCATCGGCGACTATCTAGTAGATCAAGTGCACCGAGAAAACCAGAGGACAAATAAAAGAAGGAATTTTACGTCAGTCAGCGTACAGCTATTACTCCCGTGGAGGGATTATAAAAACATCTACAATCCATCTACAAGCTTTTGATTTAGCGACGATAATTAGATGTGAGAGCAAACTAACCCTAAGTTATCCGAGCACAATGTTGCCACATTAGTTTAATATTGCCACGCGCGTCGGTGAGCAAGCGCGTGCGTGACCGAGTGCATGTTACCGCGCGTGACTGTCTCGTGGAAGCTATAGGTTCGACTCCAGTCAGCGGAGTGTCCTTTTATTTATTCTTTCAACTTGGTGTTCTCGTAAGTTCGAGAACACTCTCGTCTGATCAAGTTCCG